CTCAATGCTGTACACGGCCCAGCTCTGGTCACCCCGAGCGCAAATAAAGCAGTGCTTCAACTGCAGTCAATGGGGGCATACCCAAGCCTCTTGCAATAAGGCAAGGAGATGTGGAGGGTGTGCGGGCACCCATCAGACCAGGGACTGCCCGAAGAAATCGGTGCTTTGCTGCAACTGCGGTAAAGCCCATATGTCGTGGCAGAAAGGGGCGTGTCAGAACTTCGCGGAATACAAGGCCAGCGTCCAGAGGGCGCGGTATGGACTCATGGAGAAAACGGCGGACTTAAGACGAGAGGAATTCACACCAACGGAACCTCAAAATAAACTAACGGCAAAAATAGTAGACGACCAGGGGTTCACACTAGTGTCCAGCCAAAGGGTAGAAGGCCAGAAAAGGGGACCAGGACGCCCGCGGAAACAGGTCCTAGTCCCAGCAATTCAACCATTATCAACGCCATCGGCGTCAACTTCAAGACCACAGGCATCCATTTTCAACACGCGAGGAAAAGGGAAGGATGCCGAGGTATACTTTAGCTAGTTCTGTCTCGAACTAATGGCCGATTGCGCTTCCTGTAGGTTAACGAAGAACCACAGATATAATTTGAAGGAGTAGGGGGTTTTTATCGGAAGGTTTCCCCCTCATGTAAAATACCTATAAATAGAGTTTATAGCCACCTGCATGGGCCCATAGGGCGCCAAATCAGGGTAATGAAATCAAATTCAAATAATAATAATAATAATAATAATAATAATAATAATAATAATAATAATAATAATAATAATAATAATAATAATAATAATAATAATAATAATAATAATAATAATAATAATAATAATAATAATAATAATAATAATAATAATAATAATAATAATAATAATAATAATAATAATAATAATAATAATAATAATAATAATAATAATAATAATAATAATAATAATAATAATAATAATAATAATAATAATAATAATAATAATAATAATAATAATAATAATAATAATAATAATAATAATAATAATAATAATAATAATAATAATAATATACCTTAAACAAAGGAGAGTCCAACACGTCGGGCTTTCATCCAAACTCCCTGTACAACAGACAATATAATCGACATGTAACAGGATAAATCTGCCCGTAAACGGGAGAGAGACCCCGCATGCCTGGAACAGGAGTAAAGATATCGCCGAATGGACAAGAACTTGCGGAAGGGAAAAGGATAAGAGAAGGCAGAAAGAAGCTGGAAAGATAGCGGCCCTTCATGAGTGGAAGGATTCATGGACAAGCCAGATCAGGAAACACCGCCCTGGCCGACCAGCATCAGCCGATTCAGAACATTGGAAAGCGGCAAATATATTTACTGATAAACAAACAGGCAGCGTCAAAATGAAATCAAAGATACCCCCTTCAGAATCCACCGTAACCTAACCAGGGCCCAAAGCAGTGTCGCCATTCAGCTAAGGAGCGAGCATATCGGACTCAATTCTTACCTGAGTAGAAGAAAAGTACCCGGAGTAGAAAAGCCAAGCTGTCAATGTGGATATCCGTCGCAAAACGTCAAGCATATGGTGTTGGCGTGTCCGCAGTCGGCAGACGGAAGAGGCGACTTTCTACAACAAGCTAAAGACAGGACATTTGAAGCAATGATGAACAGCCCAGAAGACATGGCCAGAATTACACAGTGGATACTAAACAAAGGGTGGATAAAACAGTTTCGACTTGCCGGGGAAGTCGAGGTAGCAATGTCGGATAAAGTAAATAGATCTGGAAGGGGAGAGGACGGAATCCACACGGGATGAACTGTGTACACTGCACTTCCTGAAGATAAACCAAATAAATTGATAGTATTGAAATGTATAACCCACTACTTAGTTCGTGGACTTTATTGGTAAAGGGAAGCTTATGCAATAATGAAGGATAAAAGGATGTCAATTCGACTACTCTATTAAACACAGGTACCAGACCCCTTTTAACCCCAATAGATAGCCCGTGCGGGATCTCTATTAACAGCAGTAAACAACGCTAGCACAGGGTATATGCAATCTCCGTTCGCCAAACACCAGTCGGTCGGGACTACTAATTATCGAGCCCAGTAGGATCGACATAGTGTATCCCAACACAGAAATCGTAGAAAACTCAACGACCAAACCCTTCATCAATTACTTCCATTAAGCATCACCTGACTTATCTCTGAACTCCATGTTGGAAATTCTGACTCTCGAATTTAGGACTCAATCATTACCTGTTTCGTCTCAGGTTCCCGACAAGATCGACTCTCTCTACACATGTCCCGAGTGCGCTAATCGCGCCTACTGTCGCCTATACGTTTGGATATTTACGTACTACAGTGTACCTTGGCTCATCATGGTAGATGAGAGGTGGCTAGTCATCACTAGGTTTGACAGGCACACGAGGCTAGCGGGAATTTCTCCCTTAGATGTATATATAAGTCCAATGTTCCCATAGTTGTAAAATATTAAGTCTTCTTTACTTCATCATATTTATCCATATAATATCGTACAGAGTATATTTTCCAACACTCCATAATTTCAACAGATAGGAACATAAAAAGACAGGATCAGGGGGTTTTCACCAAATTAGTTTCCTCCTTTGTAAATAATGCAGATAGTCACCTGCATGGACCCATAGGGTGCCTGATCGGGTAAATTGAAATCAAATTTAAAAAATCAAATAAAATACTGCCGTCAATAGGAGATCCCGCACGGGCCATCTATTGGGGTTCCAAGGAGTCTTTTATTTTTATTTTTTGAATCAGGTTTTAATTGCGTATGCAGCTATCTAGCTATGACACAATATTTAAGAAAAGTACAGAATAGATGATTCAACGTAAAGGAAGAGAACTAATGCCTCAGATTTCATTTGCAAGTACCACTGTGAAGTTATGGTGGCTTTTTCTTCACCCCAAGTCAACCCTCATCCGTGAATACCCACCCAAGGGAACGTCTCAAAAACCCTGGGTTATCCAGATATGCCTCTGTCATCCATCAACTTTTCTCCGCGCGAAATGTGATCTGAGATGTCTCCTTCCCAGGTGGAGTAGGTGCCTAGGCTACTCAAACTATACCAGAGAACATCACCAGGAGGCAGATCACAACACCTTCCATCGTTTACTTGTTTTTACAGTGAAAATCTCCTCAAAGGGCAATAATGCAGAATATATATGTATAGGTTGTCTTTTGCTTGGGAAATTCTCTCCCCAGAGGATTATAATTAATATGCTATACAAACAGAATCGCCCATTAATAATGTACTAATGCAGTGACACTCCATCATTTCGAAGATAATAGGATGATTCTATTATATTTTAAGGGCGAAGAGGATTACGGACACCGCACGTAAACAGTACCACAAAGAATTAATATTTCTCTATAGAGATTGACTACAGGAAATCTGTTACATTAAATATGCCCTCTGCAGCTACCAGTGATCTTGATTCCTGACACGTATTCCTTCGCTACTGAATGATCTGTTTCCCAGCCTCAGCATATTTTTTTTATTTATCTTTATTTAACGTCTGGCGGATCACGCGTCAAGCGAGTAACCCTATTCAGCCTCAGAATAATTAAGTGAGTGATTCGAGTCATGAGAAACAACCCTACGTTGGATCACGTGATTGAAGTCCTTGAAGGAGGCTGGGCCTGAAAGATAGCCCAGCCTAATCGAACGGGGCACAGCCCGTCACATTATACCAGGGCTCTTATAAATTAACACGCCACCTGCCAACCCAGAATGATGGCGACCAATATCACTACCCTCCAACTTAGGCAAGTGACTAAAAGACTACTGGCTAAACGGATGTCCTGGCTTGCAATAAACCATATAGCGGTTTCTCAACAACTATTCTACGCACTACGAGTGCGCTCAGCAGTCAGCTTGATATGATTTATTACAGAGGTAGCAAAGGCTGCAAATGAACCGAGCAAAGTCACAGCTATGGTCAGGCCGCACCTACAAGGTGCTTTTGATGCGGTTCTACAACGTTGACAGCTCTCGTGAATGCGAAGTAAGGGCTAGCTGCTATCATTATGTCGCTGGGTACGTTGTGGAAACTCACCGGATGGCTTTTACTCCATGATCAAGGTTTGGTGATGAGAAGGGCTTCGACCCTACCATCCAATCTTATCGTGGTTAGCCTCGTGATAATGGTGATAGGGGCTGTGTTGAAGGATGAAGACCATATAGACCGCGAAACCGATGAGGATTCCTAAACTAAGTGAGGAGGACAAAATCAGTCGTTCTCGACGCTGTAGAGTCTGCTGTGAGACCGGCGGTTCGTAGTGGTATCATCACCATACAGATCGATCTAAGTCAAAATGCAACAGCAGTTGATCATAATTCATTTTCTATATTTATGAGATCATCAGGATGGAGGGTTCCGTATTCAATTAGTGTAAATAGAATGCTGCTATTACCGCCGCTGTTAACACGAATTTTGCTTAGCAACTTTGTTCAGCTTGCGTGATTGGTTCTCACATTCAGAAATCATCAGCCATATTAGCGCCGACATCTCAGAACCCCAGCATCACTCTTTAAATTGCAGCATCCACTGAAACTTTGCCATGAGAATATGCTAGGTCTTTTGTACTGAAATAATTGGACGCGAATGGATTAGCACTTGTGTCTGACTTTTGCCCCAAATTTTGGTGATGTGATGCGGATCAGTGACCCCTGCAGCGTCGTATCAACCTTCTTGATCAAGCCCTTCGTGTCTGGGGTAACTAATCATTACAGAGAATACGCATTAGGACACCTTGCAAAATGTATACTGGGCGGGTGGATTCCAAAAAGAGAATTATTGATCCTGTTAAAGTGCTGCCTTGTATTATCTAAGCGCTTCTCCTGTTACACGTTATATTCTGTTTATATCATGTGATCTACACGACTATAAACAGTTGAATCCTGCCCCTCGATTAAGTCTTTTCGAACTATTACACATTGTAACTTCATTCCAATTCAATCTACACCTTGACAAATCTTCAAGATGGAAGTACCCGCAGAATTATTGGCATACACCAATCGAAACCCACTTGAGACTATACTCAATCGATTCCGAAGCACCTTTGACACTAGCAGTAACCCCATGGAAGGTGAGATTTTATCATGGATTTCAATTCGAAGGCTAATTATGGAGTGATTGATACATTAATCTTCGGTTTATCAAGTTACACAACTGGTGAACATCGAAATGAAGAAATATTAGCCATACGACAACTCCTTCTTAAACTACTTCTTAAACTATCATTAAATCAAATTCCCGTCTTCAAATTTAGTGATCTAGTAGCATTGATCAAAGGTTTTGCTGGTGATCATGAAATTTGGTCCACCGTGATCCAGATCGCTGATCGTATCGACAAAGAAGATCAACCTACTAACACTGCCCCTCAAACTACTGTAGCTAAGAAAGAATATTCGACGGCCACTAAATTCCAAAGCGCTACGGAACCAGCAGGTTATGATGCCACCGCTACTCTATTGGCAATTGCGCTCGAATACGAGCTTCAAGAGAGGACTTTTAGAAATGTCGATAAATTTTGGGAATTAAATTTCGAAAATAAGTCATGGTCGAAGACAACGACACAAATTTGGAAAAGCTATAGCGAAGATTGTCAACGCGGAATAAGTAACGTCTTCTCAGACAATACGGACGAAGAAGCGATACGAAGCTGGATGCATGATTTTCGAGATCGCTACCTGATCCAGCTAATTAAGGGTTCGAAAGTTTCCGGGAAAGACTGGCCGGCTGTTCAGAGGGAACAAAGAAAATCACTTATGCGTGGTAAATATTTTTATACAATAAAATCAGGCGAACTCAAAGGTAGTTTGAACAATTGCCATGTGGACTTTTTTATTAAAAGTTCTGTTATCTCTGGCAATGACGAACATAAATGGAGAGATGTCAGAGTCGTGGGACAAATAACCTCTTCGAACAAACAGCTAGATGATAAGACCCATCTGTTAATGAGGAACGTGCGCGAAATCTTCTATTCGCAGCCGCTTCGTCGATTTGTGCATGGGTTCTGCTTACACAATGATCACATGGAGCTCTGGATTGTCGACCGGGCAGGTGCATATAGCTCTGGTGAAATAGACGTTTCGCAGAGCCAGGAAAAACTGATCCGGGCATTGTCGTCATACATGTTCATGAGTGATGAGGATCTTGGATTGGACCCAATCACTAGCTACAATAGTGACGGTCGATGTTTCGTCACCGTTCCAAACGCCAAGACATCAGTGGAAAGAATTGAGGTGAACCCCTTACCTATAGCTCGGCCGGAAACCATAGTTTCGCGAGGAACCACGTGCTTAGAGACGAAGGATAGCATGTATATGCTAAAGTTCTCTTGGGGCACTGAGTCTGTGGAATCCGAGACCAAAATTTTCAAAAGTGTAAAAGATGTGACAGGCGTCATCAAGTTGAACTACTCTTCTGATCTTTATGATATCCATGATCACCGAATGGAAATGAAATTTACGGAAGACAAAAAATGGGACATCTATTTTGGTGATCGAACTCTCTACCATAGCATTTCGACGGGATCTCCAGCCATGGAATCTTACATTCAACGTAAACTTACTTATGTTAAGCTGTCGCCGGTCGGACGGCCCCTTCAGTCTTCTTCAACGGTACGGGAATTTGTACACGGCATACGAGACGCCATTATCGGACACCGCAATTTATACGAGAGAGGGATCATTCACGGTAATATCTCGGCCAGAAACATCATTCTGACTAAGGCGGATGTAAGGGGTGCAAGTGAAGGGATACTTACCGGTCTAGATAAGGCTTTGTATCGTCAGGAGAAAAAAGGTAAGAAACAGCATGAAAGTTTTACCGGAACTAGAAAGTACATGGCGCTGGAACTTTTAGAAGCTATTGACGAGAAGGAATACACCCTAAAGCAAACTTACCGTCATGATCTTGAATCATTCTTTTACGTTCTCATAGCTGGATGTATGAGCTATTGTCGTAAAGAAGCTCCAACACATCTCCAAAACTGGTATTCGGCTAACTCTACGTTGTGTTTCACATCAAAGAAAAGTGATATCAAAGATAAATTTCAAAAACGAATATTAGATTACTTCACGCCCGTGTTTGAATGTCTTCAGGAGCTGGCACTGAGTCTTCGCCAAATACTCTTTGAAGATAAATCGGTGGGATACGGGACACCAGAAGATCCTAACGTGCTGTATGAGCCTATAATCCGTGCCTTCGATGACACTATCCAGGAACTTGAAGGTGAGAAAGATTTCAAATAATGTTTAATTATTGTCCTCTCATTTTAAGTATTTGCTGACGTTATCCATCATGATTGATAGCTGATTTTCTGGAAAGAAAAAAAGATGATTGTATTCGGATTGAAGCATAGAGTTTGAAAAGAACAAGACGAAAAGTATTCTGGGCCCAAGATGTACAGTTATAGAGATATTCTCGACGAATATTGAAATCTTTTAATTATCCTCCTCCCAAATATATGATCATAGAACTTTGATTCAGTGAATTGCACTGCAACTATCCCTGAATAAGTTATCCAAGACCCATGGAGATCTGAGTAATTGAAATTAACCTCTGTAATCACGTACTATGATGTACTGAGCATAAAGATATAATTTTTGGTTGACAAAGGTTCTAGGCAATTGGTACAATTTTCACTCATTAGGGAGCTTACCCATAGGAATGGCCGTGCTGGACCAAGTTCACTATGATACAAGTAGAATAAGCTGGGAGGGCAAGACTGAACACCTGTCAGTGGTGCTCTCTACGAACCTGGGAGTGAAATATTCTCCCAGAGCCAAGTCCAGTTAAATTTCGCAATACCGAACAAGTTGGCCCACGAGGCAATGATTCAAACTACTCCACCACGTCAAATTTTCACTCCCAACGAGTTCGAATCCAATCCAAGCCTCATCAAGTTTACAAGTACGACCTAGTACATCCTTATTCCAATGACCACACCTCTCGTCGACTTCCTCTGGCCTCAGCCGGTCACCAAATACACGCCCACGCCGATATTTACACCCGACGGAGGACACAAAGCGTGGCGCACAAATCTGGGAGACTGTTCTTTGGGATTGGCGTGAGAGGATTCAGGACAAGTTAACAAGATGATGCAGAAGAGGGATAAATTCTCGACAGGCGTGGGATTTCGAATTTTAGCAAAGAGTTTTTACAAATTGAGCTTTGTGCGTGCCAAGAATTCGGTTGCGAGAGTGCAGGCGACACTATAAACACCGCCATGGTTGAATGGTGTGGTGGTACATCGTCTTGGCCGGTCTTCCAAGTAGAGTCTGGATAGCTTGGACACATATCCCACTTGAGACAGTAGATCGCTGGTTCAAATCCGGCAAAACACAACCACATTTCTCGCGGCGCTGGTGTGCATGGATGACGAAGGCATGGTTGTATAATCAAAGGTTTTGAATTTCCCATCAGTGGATACTTACAGAGGAGGGTCGACTGTTTGTGTAAGCAAGCATACCTCATAGTGGTATTTCCAAATAAAATGTAGAGTATGAGTGTCTCTAATGTCAAAAGGGTCATCCAGTGCGTACTTCGATGGTGAGCATGACATTGCTCCACCACTGCCCGTCGTCATCTTTGCCATCTAGCTTGACTCTCTCACTTGATAGTTGTACTTCGTCGTCTCACGTTCGTTCCCAGCTTCAATTTAATGTGGTGAAGTGAAATTTCGTCGCTTGATACAAGATAACATGGAACACTTTCCCTACTGCGCCCCAAAATTCTGCTTAGGTCTCCACCTAAGCTAAACCACTGTCAAACAGTAAGATAAATTCTCTGTCTTCTTACAAGGTCCAAGGTCTTTGTACCATGATTATGTTTACTTCTGCATCCCAAGCTTGTTGCATCGCTATGAACATGTTCGATCTGCCCTTCTCGCATTCACCTGGTGAAACAGAAGGCTGCCCCTTGAGTTATGTTATGATTTCTATTTAGTATATTGCTGCATGTAATTTAACTAGCTACTATTTGAGTAGCAGCTCACGTGGTGGGAACAGATTGGGCATGTCATACATATGATCTTAGCTGTAAACCCCGGTCTTTGACCATCAGGGGATAACGGGTAGATCCTAGGAATTAAACGTAAATAACAAACAAAGAAACAGAAGGTTGCTTTTTTTGTGATTTTGATAATGAGAGTTTTGTGTTCTGTTCATTATGTTGGTATTAAAGGTCACTAGAGTAAGCTGGTGAAGTTAACGTTTTTGATTCTTGTTCTTCTTTGTTCTATAACTATAGACATAGTGGTATAAATCCTCAAGGAAAGCTAATTCCATTTAAGTTTGGCCCTAGAAAAGCTCTATCCTCGTAATATATTTTCAGCACATTATCATGTATCACTTCTTGCGTGTTCATGACCTCACGGGCCTTTTTTTCCTTTAGATCTTAAAAGTGCCGCTTTAAAGTCTAGATGTAATACCTCTGGAATACCTTGTAGTTCTGATGGCAACCAATGCGTTATTGTTGAGGGAGTTTGTGGCTTATTTCGGAGGATACAGGTCGGAGCATAACAGGACGGGATAGGAAGGAGTCGAAATATAGAGGTGAAAATTGTGACCATTGGATCGATCTAGTGTCTAGAATAGTTACTAGACAAGAAGCTACCCTTTATACACTCTAGAAGTACTGCTATGTATAAATTCACGTATAGTCTTTACAACAAGTGTAATGCTCTGCTTATCCAGAGAAGGCGATTATTCCCACACAGTGAGCTAAAAAAAACTATTAAACTAATACGACCAAGCGCAATCAGACGTGATGTTGCGGCAGCAGGGAAGGTTTGTTACAGGCCGGCACCAGAAGTAATCCAGAGTCGGTCTGTGATACTTGTCTATGATATCGCCATGGCCGGGCCATGCAGTCCAAATGGGTTGAATCGTGCGGTCTTGCACAGTTTGAACATTTTGGGATGTTGACCGTGCATTCTGCTACCTCGTTTGTATCAGAGCACCTTATACACCGCTATCCACTAACGTAATGTCTTGTTAAACGGCAACACTTACAGCATTGACATTTCTTGACTGGGCGTCGAATAAAGAATCGTAGAGTAGTTCTGCTCTACTTAAAAAGTCTGAATATAAGATTGGATGGTACCTTTTTAAAGTGTAATATCCAGCTAGCGAAATTGCTTCTAAACCTTATTTTACTTGGGCGTACCTGTATTTGCGTGACGCCATTTACTTCTGAGGGTTCCATTCCTACCATTTGGCTTGTTACTTCAACCTAATGTGCGGAAGCAGATTAGGAGGTGAGGGACGATGACGGATGTCAAAACTGAGGCAGGCTCAATAGTGATTTCCTCTATTTGAAGTGAAAAACCCACGCTCAGAACTGATTCCCAGCGTGCGACTAATGAGTTCTACATTTCTAGGCCGGATCCAACTTGTGCCATTGCCATAATTTCTAGGGGTACAACCCCAATTTTTTCAGAGGCAATCTTCCTAGTTGTGACAGGTAATATCCTCCGTCACGTAGGTTCTCCTTTGATCCGAAAAAAGTCATTTATCTTCCTTGGGAGGCTCTTGCCTAGTTATATTCGTCTGCACGAGAGGGCCTCGGTTTACTAGGGCGCCTAGAAGATTTGGGAGCTTAGCTGATTTCCGGGCTACTGTAGTATGCCGAGAAGCAGCTCCCCGACGCTTTTGTAGAATTCATGGACAATTTTCTTAAAAATTATTTTCGCCCTAAGCACAGAGGTTTTTATCTGAATGGGTTTAGGGGCTGATTTCTTTCCTGTGGGGTTATGGCAGTGGCGTAACCTGTCGCCAGCGCTGTAATGATAGGTGAAATCTTTTCAATGAAAGGCACAACTAATGCTGCACCTTCAGTTTATGTCTTGAATTTCGGCTGACCTCGATATTTTGCAAGAATTTGTGAGCTAGGCTCATTCGCTGATTTCTTTGGCGTTCTAATTACTCCATTTGTTATCATATGAGACGACGAATTATTCAAGGCTGGGACTTTTCGTGTGGCTCGAGGCCAAAACATTTATCACTAGTTCATTGGTTAGGCGAGCATGTATATAGTCCCATAGATGTACCCATAGTAGACACATGTATCCACTTCTCTTCATTTAGATACTCTAGATTATCCAATTCTTTCTTTAGTCACATTACATATATTATCAATGAAGTATCATCCATTAAACTGTCTCTAAGTACATCCCAAGCCACTTTCCAGTGCTTATCATTCATGACACTATTTCAGCCGAAATCCCAAGGCCTGGGTACAAGTGGTCGCACAGGTCAGTAGACGCTGGGAACGACGGCTGGTTGAGCGCATCAATACTGCTACTTAGTCAAAAGAGTTTTAATAAAGTGATGCGTCTAATCAGGGAGATTGATGGGATTTTCTTTACTGTATTGTAGACTGATGTTGCGTGTGTTTTGATTTTGGCTGTGAAATTAGTGACTAGATATACAGATCCAGACTGTGCAGATGTGAACAGGATGTGAAAGATCAAGCACGAGTCCTTTTGTTGTAGGTACATCTAAAATATAAGCATATGCTCGTTGATCTAGTGATGTCCCGTAGCCTAAAGGCACTCGCAATATCATATCTTAGACCTCTTTTCCATGTATTCTTACAATATTACAATCTCATAGTTTTTTTAAGTATTTGATTTTACTTACATTTGCTATATTATTATCAACATATGATCATCCCACAAAATAGCCGATGATTTAGGTATATACAATCCTTCACACCTAAAGACCTCAAGTGGTGCGATCGTAGGACTTTAACCTGTAAGTGAGTTGTACTATATAGATCGCGCTATAGTCAAAACTTGATTTTATGAAGCTAGATGTATAGGGTAATGAATCATGCCTTCTAAAGATAAGAAATGTTGGAGTACTTTAAAACTTGAATTCAGCAATGGAGTTATGGCACTTGATTAAACTTCATCCTAGAAGTCTGCTGATTCCCATCTCCAGTCAAGGCGTCCTATAATTCTGCAGCGATATTGTCCTCTGGTTGTTTTGAAGTTCTTCGCAAGCTTAAATATTATTCCGTGACGTAATTCCCTTATTGATTATGGCTAGGGAGCTAATGTTTTAAAGAGTTTTAGAGTATCCTTAGAAATATTCAATTATATCTCGTGCTTTAATGTTTCAATATTACTGATAAGATGTTTAAAGGTCAAATACTTGTTTTGTTACATTCAAATGTAAGCCAGAGCCAAAATATTTCCTTTCATTTTTTGGGCATGTAGCATTTAGAGCGTTAAAACAGCGACAGAGTGGTATCTAACGCATTGAAATTAGATTAATTGTTTGACTGTTCTCTTTATATAGCCATAGCAAGATGTAAAATTTTTCGATCGCGGTGAGATACAATTTTATAGACTACAAAGTAGCTATTGCAAAATTGTTTTTCTGATGCCGAACTGTCCCATGGCTCATTGGATCGGCTGAATAATAGTAATTAGGTAGCCACATTAATCTCAGTTGCAACATCTCTAATCGTACTAAAGATAGTAGTGTTCGTATTAGTTGATGATTATTGTTGATCTGTAATACGTTTGAGACCTACTGAGGAACATAATAGGCCACATCTTAGATATCTTGGACCCACAACATCAATAAATACTTAGAGAAATTTATTAGACAGCTATTTCTCCAGGCGCTTCTGTTTAGAGCGGCGCTTTTCTTCCTTAGCTGCATTTCGCTCCTCAATAGTCGGTATAGGTGGTCTTTCTTCGATTGGGACTCCAAATGGTGCGATAATTTTTGTAACAACATGACGAACATTTTTAGCGACCCGAGAACCTGCTGATATTGCCACAATGTCACCTATGCGGATCGAGTCGTTAGGGTCGTGGACAAGATGGTTTCGACGTCTATTGAAATACTTCGCAAGAGATATCTTAGCATTTTATACTTTTTTTTTGAAGGACTACATTTCGATGAGTTCAGAGATTTAAAGTGCTTACTTTCTTGATGTGACTATTCAATTGCTGTACTCCTACCTGAACCTTCACCGTTTTCTGCATCAGACCAGCAGAGACGACTACGGCTGGGATTTCTCGCATCAACGCAGTAGCTCTGGGTTTAGACATTTTAACAATTTCTTCGAGTGATGTATCAAAGTTTCATCCAAATGCACTACTTGCCAACTAGTATTTTATTTGAACTCGTTTATCAGTGAACTGAAGAAGTAGAATAATTAGCGAAATCATTTCGACGATTTCCGGGGGCCGTGTATGATCAAGTCACGGGATATTACGTTGAGAAGGGGGTTGAAAATCACATTATGTCATCATTAATTAGCGTACTCTAACGTTGGGAGTTTTCTGTGACTGTGTACGGTTGAATCTTATTACCTGAATCTATAACTATCTGGCACATTGGTTTCCTCTAGGACCCGGGCCACACCTTGCGCAGTGCTCCTATCTTCTTTTGTTTCTTGAAAGATCATTGATATATAGCCCTTGATGAATAGCCGTTCGGATCAGTGTTTACCCGTGGAATTCAGCCACCTTTTCCACGGAACCTTCGACCCAGAAAATAAAATGGTAGCAATGGAAACTGCGTGCGCGAGAAAAAGTCCCCAAAAAACCTGCAGCCCCAGCCAGGCGAGGCCGAGAGAACGGGACCACATGAGGTGCGCATATTCATCTATATCTCCCTTCTTTGTAATAATCGAGGCCGACTTGATCCAATCCACCATCACCGTATTGGATGCTGGGTACGCTCCGGAAACTCATCGGATGGCTTCTCCATGATCAAGGATTGGTGATGAATAGGGCTTCGACCCTACTATCTGATCTGATCGTGGTTAGCTTCATGATAGTGGTGAAAGGGGATTGTGTTGAGAGATGAAGACGTTACAGACCACGAAAGCGCTTAGGAATCCTCTTCGAAGTAAGGACTTTGTTTCTTAATCTTGGCTCTGCATACTCTACAGTGAGAGCTGGAGGTTCGTAGGGGACACCACTGACAGGTGTTGAGAATAGTCCCCCATAAAAATTCCGGTGTCATGCTGCGGGGTAACCTATTTGAACATACAGTCTCTTATGGGTGTCAAAGGTAAAATTGTCAAAATGACTGGGATTAGATCCCTGTACATTTTGCCTTATTTGGTATGATCTTCATGCAGGCCCATGTCTAGTTATTCGACTAGTTATGCAAGCAAGGGGCACTATCCAATGACATTCCGTAAAAGTCTAAATTATGGGGATGGTTTTGAACTCAATGGGAAAAGTACAATAGTCCTCAGTTGAAATTCAAAATTGAAAAACGTCAGTTGATAGTCTCTAAAAATGCACATCTATTTTAAAAATTATTGCTCTGTATTACAAAAGTCTACATCGAAGCCCTCAGTATGGCTCGCAACTAAAGTGAAAGCGTACTACATGTTTTGTGTGTCTTCTCCATCCTAATACTTTGTGTACCCTCCATTTGCCTTTATCACTGCTACACATCTTTCGTGTATGCTGCCAACTAGTGACAATAGCTCCTCTGAAGATATAGAGTCCCATGCATCCTGAAGCAATGTCTTCAACGTGGCAGAGCGCACAAGCCTGACCCCATTTATCACAGGACTATTTACCTGAATGTGGTTTTTTAAGGTATTCCATAATGACTCGATCGGGTTCAGGTCCGGAGAGTAAGGTGGCCATCTAATAGGCGTTATTCCAACTTCACGCAGCGCCTCAATTGTTGAGTACGCTTTATGACATGGTGCATTGTTGTGCATGAATAGAATTCCTGGATTTTCCATGTGAAATTGATTCAAAATTGGCAAAATCCTTTCACAAAAGGATGAGGCCCTCATTGATCCCCAATCCTTCTCCCAGACTAGGAATGGGCCTTTTTGTGATCCATAAAATGATCCCCAAAACATCCAGCTGTTCCCATGAGCATGGCGAGCCACAATACAAGTCTCATCTAACTCATCAAACTCATCATCAGGCTAAACTCTGCCGTTAGTACGAGGAAGATTTTGATAGAATTTAAACGTAGTTTTCTTGTGACACGAGGTTTCATATGACAATCAGCCGATACCCAGGTTTCATCAGTCCACAGTATGCGACTCCATTGTTCATCGCTCCAATCTAAATGTAATTGGGCGAACTCCAATCTTTTCTGTTTGTTCACTGCGCTTAACGGAGGCTTCTTCCGAGCAATGCATCTGCTGTAGCCTCTTTTTTTGAGTGCATTAGAAATTAGACGTTCACTGCATCCCCAGTGGCTGAAGGGCCCCATAGCTAGTTCCAAATAGCACATCTGCCGAATTTCAGGTGACTCCCGGACGAATGCTTGAAGGTCATCAACTTGTTCTGCGCTTAATTTTGGTAAGGGTCCTTTGCGAGACATAGGATTCTCAGTCTCTCGAGCACACGCAAGTTGAACTTGTCTTATTGTGAAGCCAAGTTTGTCGGATATATTTTGAAGTGTCAAGCCAAGTCTTCTTACTGCTCTTATTTTAATACATTGATCGCGAGTTAGATGCCTGCAAACTTTAGTTTCTGAAGCAGACTTTTCGAGAGACATTATTTGCCGGAATAGAGGATCAATTGATAGTGGTGTTGGTGGTGAAGGGTTGTGCAGTCAAAAATGTAGTTGAAAATGTATCTCTATAAGCGATTGTTAGAACAAGACGATTGGACCATACTTCATGGTGAGCGGGGTATTGAGGAGAGACATACTAACCTATTACGAGCTAGCCCAACTGCGCCTACAGGGCAAAAACCTTAAACAGCCCAGTTTGAAGTTTTACCTTTTGGAACCTAGAGGCACTGTAGAACAATTCATACTGCCCAAATATGATCCTTTTACCGACAACTGGGTTGATCGTGGCAGGGGGAGTCCCGACCATTGGCCGTTGCGGCCGGGCCGAGCACCGCTCCGCCAGTCCTACCGCAACGAAATGCGCAATGGCTGCTTTTAGGTAGACCTTGATGGAGTCAACAAAAACCTAATTTTCACAGGTAGAGAGCGGTGAAAAGGCTGTCTCAACACTGCTAATAGCCGTCGAGCAGATATTGAATTGCGCGGCTTTTTGCCTTGCCCTGCGCTCCTCCGCTTCGATTGCTGCAAGCAATTCGGGAGGGTATGTGTTTTCTTTGACTGCTGCTTCTGGTGCTGGAGGCAGTGGGGCCAGTGACGAGTCTTCGGCTCCCGCTGCCTTAATGGAGGGTAGGTTGGCACTTTTCGCGGGCCTCACTTCTGTGGGTCGCGGTAGTGCTGGAGGAAGACCATCTTGAGTCTGATAGATATTTCTACTTTTGTACTTCGGCGTCCAACATCTCTATCTCGGGTACATTGCCACCTTTAGCTATAAGTGCAGCCTCGATGGGGATCAGGTTTTGCTCGGAGGCCTCTACTCCTTTCTCCGATAGTTTTTGTCTTGTCATGGTTTGTATGGATTCATGCACTTTTGTGACGGGCTTTGCCCGGATTGGGACCGGTCACTAGGACCACTCCGTCTCCGAGGTAAGGTAGTGGCAGGGCAACGCTCCTGGATATACGAAAGGGGCGCTAAGGGGGTGCGCACCAGATGGGGAGTACGATACAGGAAAAGATTTGTGCCGGTAGAAAGGAAGATTCTCAAGGGCCAAGGAAGGGAGTTAAGACTAGACTACACAGAGCATGTAACGTATGGGAGAGTACGTGGTAGATGGTCTTCCCAAGGAACAAGTTATTAATTCCTATTGAGTTATTGTCTTTCAAGTACATCTGAATTCATAACCCTTACAACTTTGTTGAGTTTATTGACGCGATCTTTGGTAGCCCTTGGCATTGGGTTCGCCGGGCTAGGAGGGAGAGCGGACGGCGTAGTGGCCGGGCCCGTAGCTATGTATTGCGCTATGGCGGCGCGTAGGTAGACTCTAATCGAGTCTACAAATTGCCTTTTTGACCCGTTGGTCATAGGGAGAAGAATTGCTTCGACGCCAGAGATGGCAGCGGAGCAGAGGGCCAGATTTGCCGCTGTTTCGGCGGCGCGTCGTTGTTCAGCTTCGACTATTGGTCGAAGCTCGACTATTGGTCGAAGCTCGACGGGACACTCTGCTTTCGTGGCAGCTTTTGGCTGGGACGTTGGTCTTGGCGCTGCTTTGGGTGCAGCGTTCTCCGACGGTTTCGACGTGGTCGGAGGATATTTTGACGATTCTCCCATCCCGTGAGGGACGGAGGGTGGTTGAGGGATTTCCTCAACAATTTCGACTGACCCGATCATGTCAGTAACGGGACCAGTGACAGCTGGGAGGGCTTTCTCTTTCCCTTTGGTTGAGTCCTTGCTCATCTCCGCGCATTTCGGAGACTGGACAAGCCCAAGCAATTTTTCGAGCGCCCTCGGGTGGACTCTCGGGTTGTCCAACTTGGCGTCGGGACGCTTTTTACGAACTGGAGGCATAGTTAAAATGCCTAAGCTCGATCACAACTCGAAGATGGATGCGATGAGATCGAGAGCGATAGGAAAGAGAGAAAAAATGTATTTTCGAATTTTCGAACTTCTCGAATTGTGCGTTTGAACGTTTGTTCATTAACGTGCTAGATAAAGCAACTCCCGTCGCACTCCTGGAGCTCGAGCACGAGTGGGAAGGGGCCGGATCAGGTTAACTACCGTACAGTACAAATGCCTCGTCCCATCTAAATGGCAGACAGCTGGTCAGATTCTTTTGTAATTTCTAGATGTTGAATTGCGCGCTAGAGCGTCGGGTAGTTCTGTAAGGACTGGGCCGTCCAGCACCTGACCGTAGTCATTAGCTCTGGAAAGGCACGACCATAAATTCAATCAAATCAAAGTCAAATCGATTAAGTCTCCAAGCATTTTTATACATCGTAACTTCATTCATATTCTATCTACTCCTGTACAAATCTTCAAGATGGAAGTACCCGCAGAATTATTGGCATACACCAATAGAAACCCACTCGAGACTACACTCAATCGATTTCGAAGCACGTTTGACACTAGCAGTAACCCAATAGATGGTGAGATCTTATTACGGATTAAAACTCGAAGGCTAACGAGGAAGTAATTTTAATACTTTTCTTGGATCTATTAAGGGATACAATTCATTTGGATCAAAGTCCAGACAATATGGCTATCAAAGAATTACTGTCAAAATTAATCCCCAAGCTATCAACAAATCAGAATCCCGTCTCCGAATTTAGCGATCTAGTAGCATTGATCAACAGTTATGCTGGAGATCATGAAATTTGGTCCATCGCTATCCAGATCGCTGATCGTATCAACAAAGAATATCAACCTACCAACAGTGTCCCTCTAACTTCTGTAGCTAAGAAAGAATGTTCGAAGATCACTAATTCCGCAAGCGCTTCGGAACTAGTAGGTGATAATGCTAACGCTACTCTAGTGACAATGGCTCTTAAACACGAGCTTCGAGACAAGACTTATAGAAATATCGATCAATTTTGGGAATTGAATTTCGAAAATAAATCATGGTCGAAGACAACGACACAAATTTGGAAAAGCTACAGCGAAGATTGTCAAAGAGGAATTGGTAACGTCTTCTCAGACTACATGGACGAAAAAGCGGTGCGAAGATGGATGCATGCATTTCGAGATCGTTACCTGATTCAGCTTATGAAAAGTTCGAATAAATCAGAGAAAAACGGGCCGGCTGCTCAGAGGGATCAGAGAAAACCACATGTGCGTGGTAAATTTTGCTATATATCAAAGCCAAGTGAACACAATGGTGGTTTGAACGATTGTCAAGTGGACATTTTTATGAAGAGTTCTGATGTCGCTGACAGTGTCGAAAATAAATGGAGAGATATCAGAGTCGTGGGAGAAATAAGCTCATCAAACGAACATTTAGCTGACAGGATCCATCTGTTAATGAGGTACATGCGCGAAATCTTCTATTCGCAGCCGCTTCGTCGATTTGCGCATGGGTTCTGCTTACACAAGAATCACATGGAGCTCTGGATTGTCGACCGGGCAGGTGCATATAGCTCTGGAGAAATAGACGTGTCGAAGAGCCAGGAAAAACTGATCCGGGCATTGTCGTCATACATGCTCATGAGTGACGAGGATCTTGGATTGGACTCAATCACTAGCTACGATAGTGACGGTCGATGTTTCGTCACCGTTCCAAACGCCAAGACATCAGTGGAAAGAATTGAGGTGAACCCCTTACCTATAACTCGGCCGGAAACCATAGTTTCGCGAGGAACCACGTGCTTAGAGACGAAGGATAGCATGTATATGCTAAAGTTCTCTTGGAGCACTGAGTCTGTGGAATCCGAGACCAAAATTTTCAAAAGTGTAAAAGACGTGACAGGCGTCATCAAGTTGAACTACTCTTCTGATCTTTACGATATCGATGATCACCGAATGGAAATGAAATTTACGGAAGACAAAAAATGGGACATTTATTTTGGTGATCGAACACTCTACCATAGCGTTTCGACGGGATCTCAGGGCAGGAAATCTTACATTCAAAGTAAACTTATTTATGCTAAGTTTTCACCGGCAGGACGACCCCTTCAGTCTTCTTCGACGGTACGGGAATTTGTACACGGCATACGAAATGCCATTATCGGACACCGCAATTTATACGAGAGAGGGATCATTCACGGTAATATCTCGGCCAGAAACATCATTCTGACTAAGGCGGATGTAAGGGGTGCAAGTGAAGGGATACTTACCGGTCTAGATAAGGCTTTGTATCGTCAGGAGAAAAAAGGTAAGAAACAGCATGAAAGTTTTACCGGAACTAGAAAGTACATGGCGCTGGAACTTTTAGAAGCTATTGACGAGAAGGAATACACCCTAAAGCAAACTTACCGTCATGATCTTGAATCATTCTTTTACGTTCTCATAGCTGGATGTATGAGCTATTGTCGTAAAAAAGCACCAAAACATCTCCAATACTGGCATTCGGATAACACTAGGTTTTGTTTCACATCAAAGCAAAGTGATATCATACTTCATTTTCAAAAAAAAATATTAAATTACTTCACGCCCGTGTTTGAATGTGTTCAGGAGCTGGCACTGAGTCTTCGCCAAATACTCTTTGATGATAAATCGGTTGGATACGGGACACCGGAAAATCCTAACGTGCTGTACGATCCTATAATTCGTGCCTTCGATGACACTATCCGGAAACTCGAAGGTGAGAAAGTTTTCAATTCAAGTTTAATTATGGTCCTCTTATTTATATGTTTGCTAACGTTGTCCATCATGTTCGATAGCTGATGTTCGCGAAAGAAATAAAGATGATTGTATTCGGATTGAAGCATAGAGTTAGAAGAATATGATGAAAAGTGTACTGGGCCAAGGATGTACAGTTAGAGAGTTATGCTCGAAGAATATTTAAATCTTTTAATTATCCTCTGCCTAAATATATGATGATGGATCTTTGCCTCAGTGAACGGGACTGCAATTATCCAAGAACAAAATTTCTAACAACCACAGAGATCTAAGTTGATTGAAATTAACCTCTGTAATCACGAAATATGATGTATTGAGCATAAAGATCTAATTTTTGGTTTATTAACTTGCTAGGCAATTGGCATCTCCTGCACACCTTTGGGAGCTTGAGCACGTGAGGGACCGTGCTGGATCAAGATAATTTTCAAACAAGTGAATAAACCGCGGTCAACCTGATTGACTAAAACACGTCAGACTTCAACCATGTGTTGAGTATGGCAAATCCATGACGATCCATAGAACCCGACTTTGACGTACGAAAGCGCAAACTCCTAAGACTCGTCGACCACGCGCCCGAGACCTTAACAACCTCACGATGTCTAGTTTGTCCTTTACACTACTGACAGTTATTATTCATCTTAGTATCTCCTCATCTCGCCGAAGAATTGCTTTCTCCATTTTATGTCTCGTTCACCCGCCTACGGAAATACCCTCAATTTTTCTTCCTTTTTTTCCTGCTTTGTAGCTTTCCTTAAATCATTTGTCAATATTGCCATCATATAAACTTTATCGACTTTCCATCCCTCCGGCCTTGTCCCGTCGCTGCCGTAACTTCAACGGTGGAGGCCTAACGAGGTTCTTAGTGCTTGAAACCGAGACACCGATGATTCATCATTTTTCAAATTCTCTACTTGATGTTCCGGCTTAATGGAGCACATATTTCGTCAGTGGCGATTCGTCGTAGATCGAATTATTAATGTCCTTGGCCGAGGTTGGACGAAAAGAGGGTCAGCTCTTCGACCCTAACTTTACAGCGCGCGACAGTTGCGACAAGATGAATATCCACTTGTAGCTTAGATTGCGAGTATGAACCTTGGGTGTTAAAGTGCCTCGGTAGGTGGTGTGATGATTGTGGAGGGTCGCGAGATGAATCAGCTAGGAATGATCTTCCATGGAAATTGGAGATAGTGAGTGTAGTTAGTTGTCATAATATGAATATTAGACAGGCGTCATTGTCTCTGTCGTTAGTATCTGGGTTATGCTATCGTGAAGCCTCGGCCGGTCGGATTCTCGACCAAAAACTTGCCAAAACTGCTCCAGACGATCGCCTTCACGACGAAAACTATCGAACATACCCTTTGTTGTGGCTAAATCCTAGCTAAGGAATAATTTACCATTCCAGGTCTAGTAGAGAACACTGTTGTAATCTTACGCTTTTTATCCTTAGTCTTCTTGGTGAGAAGTAACTGCTTAGTAGGTGATGACTCGTGGAGGAGGATTAACAGAGTGGCGAAGCCGCCATCCAATTTGAGGCGATTTTGCCTTAGAAATCCCAAAGAAGGAATAAATAGGCCTTAAACTGCTCCAACTTTGAGCCTTGCGTTATGGATGGATGTTTTGGTATTTCGGAATCAATAAATTAGCAGTGTCCCAAGAACGGGTGTAATATATAAAAGGGGTTGAAAGCCTCGGCGAGTAGCTGTAAAGGTTTTGTTTTGTTTTGTTCATTAACGTGCTAGGTTACATGGCTACCGTTGCACTTCTATTGGAGCTTAAGCACGTGTGGGGTCGGGCCGGATCAGGTTAACTACCGTAAAGTACAGATAAACCTCGTCCCACTTTAATGACCGGACCACCTCAGACTTCACCTATGTGTTGAATCAAACCAAGCCTAACCGTCCAGAAATCCGCTCTATACACGCCGTAGAGCAAACTCGTCCTTAGTCTCGGCCACCACGCGCTCGAGCCCTTGACGCCCTCATTGAATCCGAAATATAAATGTAGTCCCAGTTCTCATCGTTGCTCAAGCCTTGCACCTTCATTTCGTACCGTCGGGTTTTTGTCCTTATGGGGGATTTGTGTAATCTCCTCGGTGTATCTTCCCTTTTCTTCATCCTTTGTACACGTCCCGTTTCCATCATGACTTTCCTCATTAGGGCGTGCGCAGGCAGGTGATGTGACGAGTATGGAGGTGGGTCGCAGCTTTAGAATCAACCGAGAAATGCTTCGTCTCAAATATAAAAGGAATTTGAGAGATATCAGATGTTGAATACGACCCCCAAACAGACCTAAATCTATTCGTGAATCGTATGTTGGTAGTGATAAATTTATAATCGACTTTGTTGGAGCTGTGAAATCTCTGCCCACTGATTTTTCCACCAAAATATCAAGTCCAACTCCTTCAAGTCGAAAATCCATCAAATAAAATTAATCCCACCCTTTTTCGTGACTGAATCTCGGCTCTGGGAGACTATTTCACTCCCAGGTTCGTAGAGGACACCACTGACAGGTGTTCAGCCTTCGTCCTCCACTAGCTGTAAAGGTGTATAACCTTGGGATAAAAAGGGTAAAAATTGAAACTGGGCTGTTTATGGGATTAGTCCTGCAGGCGCAGCTTAGCTAGCACGTAATATGTAGTATTGTCTCTCCTTATCATACAGCTTGCGATGAATTGTGGTTCATTCATCTCTTTCAAATAATTATTTAGAGAAACATATTTTAAACGATACTCTTGACTGCTTAACCAAAAAAGCCCTTGATTCTGGCGAAGGCTGAACACCTGTCAGTGGTGCCCTCTACAAACCTGGGAGTGAAATAGTCTCCCAGAGCCGAGATTCAGTCACGAAAAAGGGTGGGATTAATTTTATTTGATGGATTTTCGACTTGAAGGAGTTGGACTTGATATTTTGGTGGAAAAATCAGTGGGCAGAGATTTCACAGCTCCAACAAAGTCGATTATAAATTTATCACTACCAACATACGATTCACGAATAGATTTAGGTCTGTTTGGGGGTCGTATTCAACATCTGATATCTCTCAAATTCCTTTTATATTTGAGACGAAGCATTTCTCGGTTGATTCTAAAGCTGCGACCCACCTCCATACTCGTCACATCACCTGCCTGCGCACGCCCTAATGAGGAAAGTCATGATGGAAACGGGACGTGTACAAAGGATGAAGAAAAGGGAAGATACACCGAGGAGATTACACAAATCCCCCATAAGGACAAAAACCCGACGGTACGAAATGAAGGTGCAAGGCTTGAGCAACGATGAGAACTAGGACTACATTTATATTTCGGATTCAATGAGGGCGTCAAGGGCTCGAGCGCGTGGTGGCCGAGACTAAGGACGAGTTTGCTCTACGGCGTGTATAGAGCGGATTTCTGGACGGGCAGATTTGGCATGATTCAACACATAAGTGAAGTCTAAGGTGGAGGGCAAGACTGAACACCTGTACGCGTTGTCCTCTACAAACCTGGGAGTGAAATATTCTCCCAGAGCCAAGTTCAGTCAAATTTCGCAATATCAAAGAAGTTGGCCCACGAGGCAAAAATTCAAATTACTCCACCATGTCAATCTTTCACTCCCAAAGAGTCCGATTCTCAAATAAGCTTCATCAAGTCTACAAGTACGACATAGTACATCCTTGTTTCAATGACCACACCTTTCGTCGACTTTCTCTGGCCTCAGCCGGTCACCAAATACACGCCCACGCCGATATTTATACCCGACGGAGGAAGCAAAGTGTGGAGTATAAATCTGGAAGATAGCTCTATGGGATGGACGTGATAGGGATCAGGACAAGTTCACAAGATGATGCAAAGGAAGGATATAACCTCAAAGGGCGTGAAATTTCGAATTTTGGCAATGAGTTTTACGAATTAGGCTTTGTCCGCGCCAAGACTTCGCTTGCGAGGGTGCAGCTGACACTATAAAAACAAGCCGACGATGCAAGGTGTTGTGATCCGCCTCCTGGTGATGTTCTCTGGTATTGTTTGAGTAGCCTGGGCACCTACTCCACTTGGGAAGGAGACATCTCAGATCATATTTCGCGCGGAGAAAGTTGATGGATGACGGAAGCATGTCTGGATAACTCATGGTTTTGGAGATATTCCCCTGGGTGGGTATTCACGGATGAGGGTTGACTTGGAGTGAGGAAAATGCCGCCATAACTTCGGAGTGGTGCTTGCAAACCAAATCTGAGGCATGAGTGCTCTTCTTTTAAATTGAGTCATCTGTTATATTCTTCTCTGATATTGTGTCACAGCTAGATAGTTGCATACGCAATTAAAATCCTTAAAAAAAAAAAGAATTCTGAGGTGGTCCGGTTATTGAAGTTGGACGAGGCATATCTGTACTTCGCAGTAGTTATCCTGATCCGGCCCGACCCCACTCGTGCTTAAACTCCAGTAGGAGTGCAAAGGTAGTCACTTAACCTAGCACGTTAATGAACTAAGAAAAAAAACAGAAACAGCCCTAGAATCCTATTATCACTGTCAATTCATCTTCTATTTTAGCAAACATAGTCTCTCGAAAAGTCTGCTTCAGAAACCAAAGTCCGCAAGCATGTAACTCGTGATCAATGTATTGCAATAAGAACTTTAAGAAGACTTGGCTTAACATTACAATAAATATATCCGACAAACGTGGCTTCACAATAAGGCAAGTACAATTTGCGTGAGCTCGAGAGACTGAGAGTCCTATATATCACAGGTAGGTCTCGTTGGAACGAAGTCACAAGCAGATCGGAGGTACGAGAGGACGAAGGACGGGTAAGAATATATTAATAAGACGTTGCACAATCTATCATAGATTGCAACTACTAAGATACCTATACTTCATTCCTGCGCTCGCATCAATCATACAACTAAGCAAGATAATTGTTCGTCATGTGACTTATAGGTCAGATCATGAGCGAGAACCATAGGCATCATGACACTATACCTCGCAAAAGGGTCACATGGGTGTCCCGGCAAATGAAGAAGCAGACTCTCTGGCGAAAGCTGGAGCTCTTAGAGTACAGCCGGCCGTACTTGAGAACAACCCATCCTTTGCGGCAGTCAAAAGTCATGTTTTGGATATGAGGAAA